TGTGGGGCCACCTTCCCCTCCCCTGGGTGGCTGGGGTGGAAGCGGGGTGGTGTGAGCAGTGGCGGGGGGGTCCGGGGCGGGGGCCAGCAGGGCCCACTGGAGGCTCAGTATGCGTGGTTGGCCACGTAGAGGGACTGCCCGGCGGCCCCCGAGTCGTCCCCGCTGCCCTCATACTTGCCCAGTGCCGCCAGCCCGTTCACCTGTGGGGAGAGAAAGCATCAGGCTGTGGGGCACAGCCCTCACGTCCCCCGGCACCCCATAGACGTGGTGCCCTCAGTGCCCTCCATCAGGTATCCCCCACCCCAAGGGAATCAGCATTCCATCGCCAACAACAGGGATACGGCCCTTGGTGTCCTGATCCTTCTGCAGAGACACAGCGCTCAATCTCCACTGTCACCCACAGACAGATGTCTTCCCCATCACCTGTAGGGACTTTGGACTTGATGTTCCCACCATCCACGGGGAACTCACTCATGGTGCCCCCACCGCTCGTAGGGACAGGTATTCCCACCACCCTTCATTCTTGGTGCCCCCACCATCTACAGAGACTTGATTCTTGGTGATCCCACCACCCATAAGGACTTCATTCTTGGCCTTCCCACCCCCATATAGCACAACCACAGGCACCCCATCCCACAGGGGCCATCCCCCATCACCTCTGCACGCTTGACGAACTCCTCGGTGGCAGCACTGGCATTGTCCCTCTGCCCACGCCAGGCGCTGAGTGCCGATGCCTGCAGTGCCCGCCCATAGGAGAAAGTGAGAGCCCACGGCCGCACCAGAGGGCATGTGTTGATGGCATTGAGGTTGATGGAGGCCTCCTCCTCACTCTGACCCCCAGACAGGAAGGTGACACCTGCAGAGAGCAGCATTATGGCACCAAGCTGACCACACGGCATCGCCTTCCTGTGGATTTCCACCACATCCTGAGGGCAGTACCTGGCACAGCTGGGGGCACAGTGCGGCGCAGAGCAGTGACAGTGGCCATGGCGATCTCCTCGGGGCTGTACTTGGTGGGGCAGGAATGCCCAGGTGTCACCATGTTGGGTTTCAGCAGGGTCCCCTCCAGGTAGACGTGGTGGTCGCTCAGCGCCTTGTAGACTGCTGCCAGCACCTGGAAACAGACAACATGGAGTTTCGTGGCATGGAATGCCATGGCACACCCCCATCCCACTGCCTGCCCCACTGCTCACCTTCTCTGTCACATACTGGCACCGTTTGAGGTCGTGGTCACCATCAGGCAGGATCTCAGGCTCCACGATGGGCACAATACCGTTCTGCAAACACCAGGCAGATGGCATCACAAGGATGTTTTTGGCCCCATAGCAACATAAGGCAAAACCTAGACCTGGAGGTGATGCCTATTCTGGGAGTGTCAATTCTTGGCCCCGTGGGCAACCTTCATGCTTGTGGGGTGATGCCTGGCCCAAAGAAAGATGTCCATCCCATGGGGCAATGTTTGGCCCCAGGAGGAGACACCCATCCCTTTGAGATATTAACCAGCCTATGTGTTATCTCCAACCCCACGGGTCAATGCCTGGTCCCATATGGTGACACTCATCCCACGGTCAATGCCCAACCCACAGGTTGATATCCATCCCTGCAGAACAACACTCAAGCCCTAGAGAAACACTGAGCTCCATGGATCAGTGCCCATCACTATGGGGCAACATCTATGAGTCAATACCCATCCCATGGGTCAGCGTCCACTCCACGGGGTGCCCAGCCTCACAGCCTGGCCCCAGATCCATACCTGCTGGCAGATGCTGGCATAGCGAGCCAAAACGTTGGCGTTCTCCATGATGGCAAGGGCAGAGGGAGTATTATCACTGATTTTCAGCACGCAGCGCCACTTGGCAAAGTCAGCCCCATCCTTCTTGTACTGGGCACAGCGCTCCGACAGCCCATCCAGACCTACAGGGCAGCACGTCAGCCCCATAGCCCCAAATCTCCCACCCTCACCCCACACTTGCTGCACCTACCCTGCGTGGTGGTCTCCCCATCTGTCCCAGCCAGCGGAACGACACCTTTGTCCACCTATGGATGGGTGAATGGAGGGTGGACATTGATCCCCCACAGCCATCCCCAAGCACCCAATAAACCACCAGATTCTGCCCCCACCTTGATGCCCACAACGATGCCCTTATCTTTGATCATCTGGACGAAGGGAGTGCCGTCATCAGCTTTCTGGTACATGGTCTCATGGAAGAAAATGACCCCCCCGATGCACTTCTTCACCCTGCTGTCGGCACTGAAGAGGATCTGGCGGTACAGCCGGCGGTTCTCCTCCGTGTTCTCCACCCCAATCTGGTTGAGGCGCTTGGCCATGCTCCCTGCAGGCACCCAGCACCGTCACCCACAGGAGAAGCACTACAGGACAGATGTCCCCCTCTCCCCCATCACCCCTCCGGCTCTCAACCCCTCACTGACCCACGGATTCATCGGCGGCCAAAATACCCTTCCCCGGGGCCACGATGCGCAGCGCGATGTCCGACAGCTCCTTCTTCTGCTCGGCTGTGAGCGCGGGGTATTGGTGCGTCATGGTGCTGCCTGCCGGCGGACGAGGGCTGAGTCACGCACCGCCACCGCCAACCCCC